GTGATTGACATGCAGGCCAGGAGACATCCCCGAGAACCGGTGGCATTGCCTTTCCCCGAGAGTTTTCGGGGAGAGCATACCTTACCAGGGAGAAGTCCCTCTCCTATTCGGGGAAGCATACCTTACAGTCTCAGATGCCAAAAATTGCCTAGTGATGTGAGCAGGGTGTGTGTGATGTAGGACATAAACCGGTCCTTATCAAAAGTACACTTGAAATGAGTCGTTTACTTATATCTTATCCATAGTGTTAGATATCCCAAATGAGTGCCCCAGGTAGTGGCCCTCCCCTTCCCCCGCCAAACTCCATATTCATCCATTCCCCTTTTTCTGCGGACACTGGGTATAGTCAGCTGTGATTGCACGTAGGATGGAAGAGGATGGGAGTAGGATTTTAAAGTGGAGCCGTGGAGTCCTAACATGAGAAAGATCATGTTAGTATCAGGGGAGAGTAGGGGGAGGGGGAGAAGAGAGAAATCTAGCCGAATATCCTCAACACGTCCCATACACTTGGATGCGCTTGGCCCATGTCATAAAATAAAGTATGGATGGGTGAACGTTCCAAATGACGAGGGAATCGATCAGTGATGGCATTACCTTACAACTTGTGAGTCTTATGGGAAGCCCTATCCACCGTCGTCAGTTTAATCAGATTCGAATTTTCTTGAGACACGTTCCCTTTCCGGAAGAAATACTGAGTCCCGTCAATATTTACCTAAATAATGGGAATAGATGGTTTCTTTGTCGGACAGCACCCTTACAAGGGAGGTCGTTCAGGGTGTGCCAAGCTTTTTCAAAATGGTCTTGCATGACATAGGGGCACATGTGGGAACCACAGAACCATGGTTCATTTTTCCTGAACGGCCCTCTGAATACCAGAAAAGGGGTCCCTAGTTCGATTCCTCGTGGTGACAAATTTTTGCATTTCGAGTTGACGTTTCAAAATTCGCGCAAAATGGAGTTAGCATGAATAATTAGTACCATATTCATGATTAGGACCGTCAGTAACCCTTACAAATAGACTTTGATTAAAAAACTGGTGAAAAAGGTGTGACACCAAAACGGCCCCACTGTGATGTCACAACTTTTCCACCAGTTTTTCAAAAACAAAGTCTATTTTAAAGGTTACTGACGGTCCTAATCATTAATATGGTACTAATTATTCATGCTAACTCCATTTTGCTCTCTAACTCTAAATGCAAAAATTTGTCGCCACGAGGAATCGAACTAGGGACCTCTTGGTATTCATAAGACCGCTCAAAAAAACGGATCATGGTTCTGTGGTTTCCAAATGTGGTTCAATGTTATGCAAGAAACCTTTTTGAAAAACCATGAACGACCTCCCTTGTCAGTGTGCCAGCAAAAGTGCTCTAATCGCTCACCGTAGTCTAGCAGCCGGTCCTTTAAAGCGCGAACGTTCGCGAACTGTTCTTGGAGCATAATCGGCAAAGTTTTTCGTTGGGTGAGGATCGTTCTTTTAGCAATACTGTCTGTTGTCCTTCTGCTTGCGTATGGTCTCTTAGAATGTCTGTGTTTCTCGCAATTTCCAGCATTTTTCGTTTTATAAATTCATTTTGTGATAATGAGCGTGAAAGCTCCGTGAGTTTTCCACAACAACCAGGAAATGGAGGCGGCTTCTTATGGACACTTGAATCGACTTATTTCTTGACCATTGCTCTGCGCAATTCACTTTCGTGAGCAGATATTTGTGCATTATTTCAGGACGTTTGTTTCGTCCGAGTTGAGATTCGTGCATAAGCCTCCGTTTATTCGCTTACTTTCTTATTCGTTTCTCGATCCACCTACCAACTTTTTGATCTTGTGTTTCATCTGATCTGGATGTACTTTGTATGTCTTCCTAAGGTGTCAAATTTAGGGGTACTCCTTTCTCTAGCTTTGCTAGCGAGTGTATTTCGGTGAGGAAATGGTGAAGGAAACCAAGTACTATGATGTTCTTGGCGTTCAGCCGAATGCGACAGACAGCGAGCTGAAGAAGGCGTACAGGAAATTAGCGTTGAAGTATCATCCAGACAAAAATCCAGAGGAGGAGAACAGTTCAAGCTTATTCACAGGTGAGATCCAACAGAACACACTTCTCAGTCAAGCAGTTGTCAACAAACAAATGCAAAATCTCAAGTGCCGTCAGTTAAACCAACTTGTCACGAGGGAAAACTCGAAGGACAACTTCTGCTGAAGACGCGCTTGAGTGGCATTGAGGGAGGGCTTGTAATGAAAGGACGTAAAAACGTCAGAAACAGCGGTTACGACACCTGCTATTACAAGAATTAAGCCGCTTGTGATTTTAACCCAAGCGCCCCCTCTATAGTATCTCTGTCGGTTCGTGACTGGTAGAAGGGCTAAAATAGCGCTTTAACACCAACTGACGGGCAATCGCGCAATTTTTTTCGCGTGTCTGCACGTGCGACGCGCACTTTTTTCAGCATTTTCGAAAAACATACTACAACCCAAGTTCCTCCCGCGCACAACCAAAAAATGCTTGAAATCTCCAAAGCAGACATTGAGATTTGCACACGTCTCAAAGCAATATGACGGATTCTGCTAGGTGGAGGGCCGCAAAGTTTTTCCGGCTCGCCCCAGGTGATTAGCAGCGATTCGGGAATATAATACTTCAGTTTTCCACCTCAAAATCCGTAAATTAGGTCGGATTTCTAGATCTCTTTTTGTAAAATCTGATATCATTACTTCAGTTGACGGAGAGCAAAAAGCCAGCCGTATACATTCGATAATAACAAGCTTTCCTTCGAAGATTCACTTTCAAGAACCCCTTGTGTAAAACATCAATTAAGAAAGATGATTGGCAGCGAAAGCGTATCAGCCATACAATCTTTAACTAGCAACGCCTTGCTGATTAACTGCCCCCTAATATAATAATTTGGAACCTCTTAGCGCAGGAATAAATCAGCTCTATGTCGGCGAAGGACCCCACATCGAGCCGCATTGTCCCACGTGGCAAAAGTGCGACCCACCGTCGAGTCGCAATGTCACCCAGTGGTCTGCATCTTGAAGAATCATCCCTGTTGTTCGTATTCTGAGCAAAAATGGTGAGTGCCGGCTATTGGCACGGAGGCGAATTTGAACAATATGGTGTTCATAATCTGCATATGACTTTTTATAAGCTGCTCTTAATTTCTAAAGATAATGACCACGAATAGCGATATCTCCTTTATTTTCAATCTATTCCACATTCAGTTCAAAGTTCAGAAGAAAAGGGTATCTGAAGCGCGAAGTAGTACCAGATTCTTCGCACCGCATGCACGCCCGCCAACTTTGAATATGCTGATGGCAGTTGCCACCGTTAGGGCCGAAAGGGTTAAAGCAATCGAGTTCACAAGAGTTTGCGTCATACATGATAGTGTCGTAAATACCAGCACTTTGTATATGGTGTTTTGCCCCCTGTTACTTCCGCCAAACGCAATTATGCAGTGATGCGGGAAGGGTGGACTTGGTGCTTGTTCCATTTTGGTGGTTCTCGTCGTCTATATGACAAAACTGACATTAGGTCTGTGTAGTTATTTTATATCTTTTGGTAAATTTGTGTCTATTATAACGAGGCAGAAAGGGTGAATTAGTTGGAAAATGTTGGATTGCAGTAGTGTCGGTCTCTACCAGTGGAGATCTCGCTTAGGATAATCCACGATTTCTTGATTCAAATTAAAGTGACCCGAGCGAATATTTATTTATTAGCTTGCGGTTAGAATATGGTCTGTTGCAGTATTGCGTTTTTGCGTTTTTCTTCAAGGGATAACAATCATCGTGCTCGATCGAGGTGTGGTTCACCAGGACAGAAAGCGACCCTTTTTTCCGCGTTTTATCAGCGCGAAACATTTTCCGCTGTGGGCACCTGAGGTCCACCGCTGATCATCAGTGGACCCGAGGTTCCCGCAGCGAACAATGTTTCGCGCTGCGAATTTTTGTTGGCACCAATGACCCACTTTTGTGGAAATTCACTTAATCTTATCCCGGAAAGTTGCCGTCATCGATCTAAGTTCTTTGAAATTAATCTTTTGATAAACTAACTTTCTGGTACGTGATATGGTACGAAATAATTATGATACAGAAAGCGCAAGTTGGATTGAAAGTGGCGATACTGTATTTACTTTTTTTTCTGTAAAAACGAAAGATCGTCAGAACAATTGCTTGTGGTGCGAATACGATAATTATTGTTTTTGCATTGCAAAGCACAACACTACTCTTAAACCCCCGTTGGAGGTGTCAGATGAACTTTGCCAGGAATACTTTCGGGAGCATTGGAGCGACACCAGCCTTGAGCGCCGCAGCTTGATCATGTTAAAGGGTTCAAACGGTATTCTCGAATAGATTCAATCTCACGGCATTACCTTTTGATGCTATCCTGAAATAGATCTATTGACCTCTCTATAGCCCCTTTCATAGTCGACCGTCTGATCTTACCAATTCACAGCATTTTGTACGTATAGATGGTCCGATCGCTACAAACAGACGATCGATGCGTATTTAGTGCTGTGCGATTGTTGCGATCGCTGCAATCGGACGACAGATTATGAACCCTATTAGTCGAAATGTGAGGTGTTTATTGTAGCAGGAATTTCAACCTCACAATCAGTCATCGTATGTAAGGAGAAGTTGTAAGGAACGTTATGACATGGTTATACTCATCTGCTTCATGGCTCGTCCTAGTTAGCATGTTTGTTCTGATCTTCGAGCTCCACTTGTTCAACAACCTCGCGAAACCTTCGTTGGAAAAGTTCTGACGCGCTGTAATGTCGAAGCTTCAAAGAGCTGGATTTCGTGTTGGAGTTTTTCAGGAATCTTGTAGCTATGGTGTTGTCGCGGCGCGTAGAATACATTAGAGGGGATTCGGCGTGTTTCACTGCAAATTGTGCTCTCATAAGTAACAACTTTGTTGACACAATTATGGCGTGAGCTGTATTATTACGAAGCCCCTGCGCAACCTTGGAGGTCTTCAAATGTTTGGCATTGTTTTGAGAGTTTTCCAGTGTGATTATTCCAGGCCTACGAAGTTCTCTCCGATGAGAAGAAGCGGCAGTTGTACGACCAAGGCGGAGAGGAAGCCCTTCAAGGTGGCGGTGGTGGTGGAGAATTCCACAATCCATTCGATGTGTTCGACATGTTCTTCGGAGGAGGTGTGCAGTGTTTTACGGATATTTCGGATCTGGATCGACACCAGATTTTTCCTTCTATCTATTTAGCACGAGAAAACGTCAGCTCCTTGGTTTCTTAAAAATGCCGGTTTCAGGAAAGCGTCAACGCGAGCGTGGAGTACGACCAACTGTTCATCAGATGAAAGTGTCTCTGGAGCAGCTGTATAACGGGTTCTCAAAGAAATTAAAGGTATAGCATCATGCACGCAGATTAAGAGGATGGTCAGCTTCGCTGACAGCAACCGAAATTTTATCTTTTGCATTGCACCGCTTGCTGCTTGAAAGGGTCTTATTATCTTAATGCATTGTATCAACTTTCAGGTTACTAGGACGGTTATTTGCACGGACTGCAAAGGACTTGGTGGAGCTGCTGGTTCCGTGGTAAAATGTAGTGATTGCAAAGGAAGGGGTATGATAATTAGGTGGGTGATCGTCTACAGTCTTATTAACCTCTTAAAATAAGTTATGTTAAATAGTTCGTCCACGCTGCATATGTTTCGAATGCGAATTTTAGGGTAATGCAGTTGGCACCAGGAATGATTCAACAGGTTCAGTCGCCTTGCTCCAATTGTAAAGGTGCCGGTGAGATAATCCCAGCCAAAGATCGCTGCAAAGGCTGCCAGGGGCAGAAGAAGGTTTGCAGTTTTGCTAATTCTCCACTCTTTATTTCGTTGTAAATTTAATCTGTTTTTGGGTAATAGTGTTTGAGCAAATTTCAAGTTCTTGAAGCGCCATTTGAGAAAAGTTTAGACCGATTTGCTCTTTTGCATAGGACTGCTTTTGAAAAATCTCGACTGACTTTTTTGTTCCTGAGATATTGTTTTTTTTTTGGTGTGTTGTTTTTGAGATATTCTGAATGCAGTACTCGAGCTCCGCATAAATGGGTGCCTAGTTTTAATAACATCTCTTGCTTAGTTGTGATACTTCCCGACGAAATAGGAGTGTTCATTATAGCGAAAAGTCGAAGAAATCCTGGAAGTTCACGTAGAAAAGGGAATGAAAGACGGTGATAAAATCATGTTCGAAGGAAGAGGAGATGAGAAGATCATGACGTGCCTCCTGGTGACATCGTTATTATTCTCGAC